TGGGAGGCCGAGGCGAGAGGATGGCCCGAGCCCAGGGGTTCGAGACCAGCCCCGGCAACCTGGCGAGCCCTCATCTCTACAAGACACCACAAAATGCCCGCAGTTCCAGCGGAAGGATCGCCTGAACCCAGCAAGTCGAGGCTGCGGCGGCCGGCCGGGAGCGTGCAGCAGAGTGAGACTCCGACTCCAAACAATAATAACAATAATAATCAGTCCCGTGTTCCTCTTCTCTTCGGCAGAGGTGGGGAAGCATTTCGCGGGCTCGGTCGGCGGAGGGTGAAGGGCAACCCGGGTCGCCCGGTTCCTGAAGGGCCAGCCCACGCAGGCGAAGGCCCGGTCCGAAAGCGCAGGGGAAGGCCGTCCGAGCTCGCCGAGCGGGGACCCCGACCCCTCCAGGCACGGGGGAACCGGGTCCTCGGCGGGAGCCCCGGCAGGGCCCCCGAGCTCCTCGACGACCCCGCGGGGTACGCAAGACGCCGGGGGCCCCAGTCCCCGGTCACCTTGCAGTCGCTCCACCCCACGCGCACAGCCGGCAACGGCCCCGGGGCGAGAACGCGAAGGGAAGGTCAAGGGGAAGGACACGACCGAAGCCACCTCGGGTGATTGCCGTCCACACGCCCCCGACCTCCGTCCCCCAGCCCCCCATCAAGAACGGGGGCCGAGAAGCGCCTCACCGGCAGACCCCGCAGCATCTTGACTCGCTGAACCGCCTCCTGCCGCGCCGACGAGACCTCCCGCGAGGAAAAAAAAAAAAAAAAAATCGCCACCACCGGAATCGGAAGCGCCTAACCGTCCGGAAGCCGGCTACTTCCGGGAGGAGGAGAGGCCGGCTACCCTGACCATAGAGAGCGGAAGCGAGGGGGCCGCGCGGCCCTGCCGCTCTAGCCGGCCCGCCGTCTTTGTCCCCCTCCCGACCTCCTTCCGCCCCCTTCCGGCGGCCGCCGGGACTGCCGACCTGGCACGGAGGCTGGGGGAAAGCGAGCGATTCCCGAGACCCCGGGACGGAGAGTCATGCGTCTCACTGCTCGCCTGGATGAGATCGGGGTGCGACCAGGGAAAGTTGGGCGCTCGAAGTGGCCAGAGCGCCTCGGCTCGAGTCTGTCGAAGCCTAAAAGGGGGACGAAGGGTCCCTGGGGTCCCTGTCGCCGCAGGCAAGGGCACCGCTTGGGTGGCACAGAGGCGGCGGTGCACCTCGCATCGGCCTTGGGTGGCGATCCCCACGGCACCCCCTTGTGCGTCCTCCGGGGTGCACAGACACAAACTGCCCCAGCGACAGCGATCATCTTTCTGCACGCTCTTGCAAGTGACTCCATGGCCATTTCCATCAGGAACCGACGATGCATGCATGGGCTCAACCAAGGTGCGATGTGTGGACAAAGTATTCCTTGGGATCCTTGGGGTTTTCTTCTTCACGCTCTGTTGTTCACCACCACCACCTCCCCGCCCCCCCGACCCCGAATGACAAGTCCCAGCTCAGATTCTTTCTTTTTCACCAAGGTTTGTAAACACCGCGATTCATGACTTCTTAGGTTGGGTATCACGTGCCAGGAGCTGGAGCGTGGGGGCCTTTTTTTTTTTTTTTTTAAAGTAGATTGTCTATCATTTTTAATTTGTTAAAGTTTGTATGTGCTCTGTTTCTTACCCATCTCCCAGCACTGCTTAAAGCAGGTATTCCTAATTAACCCACACATGAATTAATGATACATCTATTGGGCGACAGATCTAGGAGGCTTATGACTGTCCAGAAAAAAAAAAAACCAACAAGGATTCACGTTTAATAGATCCTAAAACAGATGTAGATCTCGGTGTGCATTTGACTTAGCTCCATACAGTTTTTGCTGTTTACTGGATCGTCAATGAACACATCCCCAAATTAAAAAAATACATACCGCCTTTAATTTCAGCTACCATCCCGTTTCTCTCCTCCTTCAAAATAAGACACATCCACACTTCTTTATTGTTGTCTGCGCCTTTCTCTCTCCCACTTTTTTTTTTATTATTATTCTGTTCTGGGCGGGTTTTGACTGGCTTTGCTAGAATCACCAATAGCCTCCACGTTGCTAAATAAACTGTCAAGCTGTTTTCACTTTCTCCATCTAGCGACATGGTTGATCACTCCCCTCCCAATATTTTAGTGTAGAGATAAACCATAAATGCAATAATGTGTGATACGACGGACAGTTTGAAACACGGTCTTAAAGTGCTTCCGCCCAGTACTCTTCTGGAAGTTCTATGTTAGCTGCTGCTATTCATTTCCTCTCCGGGATTCTTATCCTTTCAACGTCTCCATTTCAGAGTATCTCACCTTTTTTTCATCCCTTTTATGTTCTCATCTGACAAGTGAAATGCCAATCACTTGCTGACAGCTCTCACCCACCTGAAGCCTGGCCTTCCCTGTCTAATGAGCATCTCTAACACACAAAACCCAATGCTACTTTCCATCCCTGTCCCCAAACCTTCTCTCTGCAATTTTCCTCATTTCAAGTCCTAAGCTTTGTTTTCTTTCTACCCTGCAGCCAATTTATTTTCAAAATTTGCCGGCTGCCACCTTCAAATGCTAGCAGAGTCGGGCCACTTCTCATTATTCCCAACACTTCTCCAGGCCAAACCATCGTCATCCCTGGCTCAGATTATGACAAAAGTCTCTTTAACCCATTTCTCTATTTCCTCTCTTCTAGATCTTCCACACCTTTTAAGAACGTAGTTAGACAATAAGCCTCTGCTCCAAACTTTTGTTCACTTGTATATCCCTGGCACCTAGAATAGTAACTGACACGTGGAAAATGCTCAATAAACATAGGTTAAATGAGTGACCTGCAAGCCGCACAAAAGAATGAACTTATTTTATTGAGTATAACAATTCAAAAAATCTTTCCTAATATTCATACTCCTCCCAAATATTTTTTAGTCCCAGGGCTTCTCGTTCACTGTCTCCTTGGTCCTATTCTGTATATTGTGTTTGTCCTGACGTAAAAATATGGCTGAAATTTGCCTGCATGCTTATCAATCTTTATTGGGTCTTCCCAGGCGCACTTGGAATTTGTTACCAGCTTTCTCATTCATCCTCTGAACCATAAAAAGTTATTTTCAAAATAGGAAACTTTCTAAAACATCCACTTGGGGTTCCTTCATCCGAGTTCTTTTCTAATATTAAAAAAATTAGAAAATGCCTCTTTCGAAAAATACTTCCTCCAGAGGGTTCTGTAACAGTGTAACAGAACTGGCAGTATGTTACAGATGTGTGGGAAATGAGGTCATTAATGGCCAACTTAAGTCCTGTCAATAAGATAGACATGAGATGTGAAAAGCACTAAGTGAAAATATTTAATAATTACTGATGTAAAGTTACCAAAGCAGTTACTCAATCTTTTTTGTTCCTTTGACAGACAAGATGGTAACCCTGATTTTGATCCTGCCTATAGCATCCATATATCACAAAAAACAGAAGGAAGCCAGAATAGTTTTGTGTGACTTGGATGTGTGTTTGTCTGGTAATTCTAAGCCCATGCTTAATCTACTTCTAATTTCACAGAAATAACAGTAGAACAGCTTCATGTGAATTTTAATGTGTAAAAATTACTGGTTAGATAAGAGACAGAATTTCAGTATGCTTCCATATTCTCTTTATCACACAGTTCTACGGATCATCTTTGGAAATCAGGAAGCATTTGCTCTCTTAGCTGTTGTATTATTTATTACTAAATAATGTATCTAATTTCAAGCCTCAGTCTTTCCATAATTAAGGTGAATAGGTTGGACCAATGATCTTTATCTCGGGCTCTAAAGACCCTATGTATGAATAACAATTTCATAAAACATATCAACATGATAAGTTGGGCATGGAGGCGTACACCTGTGGTTCCAGCTACTTGGAAGGCTGAGGCAGAAGGATCACCTGAACCCAGCAGGTGGAGGCTGCAGTGGCTGTGAGCGTGCCACTGTACTCCAGCCTGGGCGACAGAGTGAGACTTCAACTCAAAAAAAAAATGAACATGAGACACTCTCTGTTGAACAATAATATTTTTACTATGAATGTAACACTTCACAGTATACTCAGGGAAATACTTTTCGGTCCCTGAACTTCTGGAGACTATAATTAGGAATGTAATACACACAGAACAATAAATTTGATGCAGACATAAGTGACTCCCCAGGTAACTGGTACAACAAAAGTTGCTGTGACAAATTCAAGGAAAGTTGTGAGCTAAGGTTTTTTTGTTTTTTGGGGTTTTTTGAGTTGGTGTCTCACTCTGTCGCCCAGACTGTAGTGCAGTGGTCGCTCCCGGCCACTGCAGCCTCGACCTGCTGGGCTCCGGCGATCCTTCCGCCTCAGCATTCCGAGTAGCCGGAATTACAGGCGCGCGCTACCACGCCCGGCTGATTTTTTGATTTATTGTAGAGATGAGGTCTCGCTGCCCAGGCGGGTCTCGAACCCACGGGCTCAGGCAATCCACTCACCTCAGCCTCCCAAAGGCACGGGATTACAGGCTGAGCCACCGAGCCTGGCTCGGGCTAAGGTTCTGAAGACAGAATTTTAGCAGGGTCTGACAGAATTTTAGCAGGGTCCGGTCGAATTAAAATGGAGCAGAAATTAAAAGTCATTCCAGACTTAAGACAAGAACATGATTAGCAATCTGAATTTGGATATTCCTCTAGGGAACAGAAGCCTAGATGGAATGAAAAGAAAAAATATAATTGAAGTTGAAATCCTAGAAGTCAGATAACTGAAGGCAAGTTACATAATCTATTTATACCTCATTTAAAACAGAGATAATAGCATGGGTGGCTGTGCAGGCCAAGAAATACCAATAAATGTTAGCTATTCTTATGGGAGGGAAGATTGGTTGAGAAGCAGTCAACAGAAGAAACATATAGGCAGAAGTTAGAGTGTATGCAGAGGCAAAGATGGTGAGCATTATGCCTTGGAGAGCTGCAAATAGTTGGGTTTGGCAGAAGGCTGATTTCATCATGAATGTAAGTATCTTGAAGGTGCCTTAGGGCTACTTCAAGCAACAAGTGGTTAAAATCAGAGCTGTACTTCAAGATCACTCTACTAGTAAGAAAAGAGTTACCTGGGTCAGAGAGTCAGTTAGAAGGCTCTCATGTAATCCAAGAGAGAAGGAAAACCTGAACTAAATTTGCAGCAAAAAGAGGTGTACTATAAACTCTCTAATTCCATCCAGGTTGCTGCAAAATTCATGATTTTGTTCTTCTTTATGGCTGCGTAATATTCCATTGTGTATAGGTACATTTTTTAATCCAGTCCTCTTTTGATGGACTGTACCCCACAATTTTAAAATAAAAGATATATATAATTTTTTTTAAAAGATGTGTAGATAAGGAGATGGATGAGAGAGCCAGCTGAAAGTAAGTACCTTCACAGCAGAACACCGTAATTTATTAGACTGGGCAGCTGGAGAGGAGAGCTAGGGTTTCTGGCTTACGTCAAGGTAGATGGTCACACCATTCACCATAACAAGAATGATAAGAAATCTCAGACTAGTGTGGAATAATTTCTGTTTGGGCCTCATTTTAACTCCAGGCCTGTGTGGAGTGGTGCCTGGCATTGACTTTATTAATGTAATAAAGTTCATTTTTCAAGAGATGAACAGGGAACAATCTAGAGCTCAGGAGAGATGTCAAGGCACAAGAAAAGATGGAGAAGCCAGTGTAAAGACAGTAGTAGAAATAAGGAACTCAGGATTGTTCAAGGAGTGTGTGTAAGAAAAGGGCACAGAACGTCAGCGCACACAACTCCCAACATTTTGTATGTGGAGCATCACTAAGGAACATATAAGGAGACTGAGGCACAGGCGAGTAAGAAGGAAGTCGGGAGAGCTCTTTACAGAAGCCAGAGGCCAAGGATAGAGAGGAAAGGCAAATGCTATCAAAGAGCAAACGAGTTCTCTCAACTGACAGGAAGGAATGGGAACTGTCATACTCTCTTTGTCCTGCTCTGCACTAAATGTTGTCTGTCACTTTTCTTACTCCTCAAACACAATCTGTCAAGTGGGTACTGAAATACTTATTTTATGAACAAGGAAATAGTAAAGGGCTCAGAAGATTAAGCAACTGGAAGGTGCAGTTTGTAAGTATGTCAGTCTAGTCCTCAAACCCACTTTCTACTGCATCTTTCAGACACAGGTGACAGTGAACAGAGTGCAGTGCCATCTTGAGATAAGAGCCTGACTGAAGCGAAGATGACAGTAAAATATAAATAGCTGTACGAGCTATATTGTGAAAGACAATATGCCCTAGCGATTATTTTAGGTCACTGAGTTTCAAGGGTAGCCTCAGGGGGGGTGTAGTTCAATAGCAATCTACCATATATTTGGAAAGCAATTCTGTCTGCAATTCTGGTGCTTAGAACAAAGCAGCATATGAAGCTTGAAAGGGACGTATGGTAAATTCAATCTTTTCCTACATTAACCTGGATAGAAAAACCTGTGATATACCAGCAGACAAGTTCCTGTTAATACATGTTTATCTTTTAAGATTTAAAATGTTACAAAAACACCAAAAGGTGAAGGATCTACTTTCTTCAAGGTATTTCTGGTTTAAAATAATGGACCGGCCCCAAGAGTTTATCTCTCCTCTCCCCCACTAGAGTAAATCAAAAAGGTATGAGAAATTAACTATTGATAGAAAAACACCATCTTAGATGAAATTTCAAAGGCATTATGTTGAATAAGTCAATTGCAAAAGGTTAAATATGATATGATTCCATTTATAGCATTGTAGAAGATAAAACTATGGGGTGGAAAACAGATTAGCGGCTGCCAGGGGTTATGAGTGAGGTGATTATACAGGAAGTTTTTAGGGGGTGATGGTGTCTCTCTGTATCTTGGGAGTTAAAACTCACAGAACTGTACACCACAGAAAAAAAGTAGTTTATCATGTGATAATCTAAAAAACAATTTAAAGAAATAGATGAGCCCCAAATCTGGAGAGAGAGAGGACAGCAACAGACAAGCAATTTCAACAAACTCCTGGAAGACAGAAATCAGATGGAACCTGATGGACAGAGCAGGTGAGACCCGCAGGACTACAGGGGAGGTGAGAAGCACGCTGCTCGATTCCACAACCCCCAAGCAGTTCAGCTGTAGTGTAAAAGGTACAGCAGGGAGTTGAGGCCGAGATAAGTCTGAACACGCCTAGCTGAAGTATGTTCAACAGAATGGCCAACCCCCCACGTCCTCTGCCCTGCCCTCTCAGCCACACACAGATGAGCTCTCACCTCCACCACTGTCTCCCACATGTAGGAGCCCGGGGAATGTTTATCTGGAGAAATTAATGGGATAACTAGGTGGAAGGAATAGGAGGAGAAAGGGATAAAGGGAAATATGTGTGAAGTAAAAATCAAGAGGTGAGGTGGACAGGGAAGAACCAGAACATTAAAAGCAGTAAGAAACAGAATCCCCCCGGTGTCCTTCTTCTGCAGAAGACTCAAGAATTCTTCCCAAAGAAACTGAACATCCCAGAGAAAAGGGCCCTAGACAAAGGACTGGTTCCTTCAAATCATCCCTAGCTCAGTGGTTCTCAAAATGTGGCCTGTCTTTGCCTGCTAACAACTATTACCCGTCTAAGGTTTTGTTTTGTTTCTTTAATTACAAACAAGGTAACAAATAACCCACTGAATGGCAAACATGCTGGTGATACCTATCACTTGTCACGCACTGCCAATCAACACAGAGCTTTCAAACAGTGTTTTGGGGTCTACTCATGTATTGCTAAGACTAGCCATAAATATGAGGAGAGTCTAAATGAACAAGAGAAAAAAATTTAAATAGCAATAAAAATTATTGGTGATAATATAGTAGGAAACACAAGTAATAATATGTACGCATACATATATATCCTCAGAAAACTAAGATAGTCTATCTATGAATTAAAAGTGGAATATTTTGGAAACAGAACAGAAAGAAGTCTTAGAAATGAAAATACTTTTAGATATATGTTACAAATTCAATAGAAGAAAGACAATGTTGAAAAATTCAATTGAAGAATTTTCCTAGAAAGAACAGAGACAACTGCATCTAAACAACTAGAGAAAAAGGGAAAACTAAGTATCAACCTAGGAGATCTAACTCTAGCTGAGATAAGATCAAATTTATCAAGAGCACCAATGGAAGCTGCAAGAGAGTGGAGTGATACCTTCAAAACTCTGAGGCAAAATTCTGTTTAACTTAAAATGTGAGGGTTGAATAAGGACATTTTAGACATGTGAGAACTCAGAAAACTTACCTTTCATATCCTACTTCTTTGGAAGCTGTGAGTGTTTTGGGAAGTGCTCTAGCAAACAAGAGAGCCAACTAGAAAATAGGAGGTCCATCACGGGTGGGCCGACAGAGGTCATGGAATGACAGCCATGTAGCAAGCCAAGAAAGCAGCCAGTACAGACGGGCACAGAAGGACAACTACAAACAGACCTCTCTAGTAAAAACGGGACCACAGAGCTTTCAAATAGGAACATTATCTGATATTTGGGCACAAAAGCCCTTCAAAACTAGTGATGGGAACGTGGCAGACCTGACAGAGAAGTTGTAAGAATTTTTTAAAGACAGGCTTATAGAAAGTTATGTAAGTGTTAAAAATGAAGCAAATATTAATTCCAAGAAAAATGAAATGAGGCAAAAGAAAATCAATCACGGTACACTGCCTTGCTCTACAGTATATAGTATTTATATAGTCATAATTACACAATAACTAATGTGTTCACTAAATATTATGATTTAGCTACACAGTGGAAGGCAAAGTATGTGTCAGAGAACTAAATCGTAATGTTAATCAAGAAGACAGTGTAAAACTGTTAAATTAAGCGACCAAACAGGCATATTATTTAGATATACTGAGATAAATAACAGAAGAAACAACTTTTAGGGTCAAACTGGTTGTTTCTGGGGAGTTAAGAAGCGTTCAGGCAGGGACTATTGCTTTGTATCATCTTTAGAACTTACTATTTGATTTTTTTAAATTGTGTACATATTACTTTGAAAATGTTACATATATGAGAAAGCAAATAAGGTCACTTGTTTTTCGGCAACATATTTATTTTGAAACTTCCAATGACATTCAGAGAAATGTGATTTTTATGTTTACTGAATGATGCATGGGCTAAATGCTTTGCTAGGTCATCTGAACTCTCAGGCATTGGAATTCTGGTAAAAGCAGCGCCTTCTTACTCCCTCCACCCCCCCCAAAAAAATAGCCATGTCCACAAAAAACAGCACTTCACAGCTCAGCCAGCAAAGATATGCCACACAAGAATTCTAAGGCAGCGTCTCCAGGAGCACAAGAGGATGCAGGCTGAACCGCTTCACCAGCTTGACCTCTCAGCACCTCCTCCCCTAGCCAGGCTGGTCCCACGTACCCCCTCCCTACCTTCATCATTTCTAGTTACTGACCGTCTCCTGGGCTGCACACCAAACTCGGCCAGTCTCTAACTCAGATGACAATCTGACCACTTCCTGAAAGGAACAGATGGTTCCTGTTGCCAGAGCGATTCCTGAATACAAATATGCTCATGCATTTAACAATGAATGACACTTGACAGATCTAGCCATGAAGTCAGAACCTGCACTCTGACCCTGGGTCAGAATTTAAGCTAAACATAAGCAACAACACTGGGGTACTGTTATTTTAGCGAGACACTTCAACATAACAAAATTAATTTTCTTCATTTTTATTAATACAGAACATACTAACAGAATGTTATCTTTGAATATAATTAAGGTTACCAGTAATCTCTGTCACTAGCCAATAAACAAATAACAATCACTTGACTCTCCTCTTAGCTGAATGATTCCCTATTAGGTAGTAGTACACAGTTATTTTTATCAATTTATTTTTAAACTGCCTTATAACTTCAAGGAAATGTCTTAGCTTTTACTTACTGAATAATTTCTTCAATTGGCAAACTTTTCATACCTCAAAATACTTCCTGTAAACTAATGCCTTCTTCAATGCCTTCTACTTAACCTAGCTGTCTTAAAATGCAATACAATTCTTTGAGGGTTGATATGACATCAATGTTTCCAAAAGATGGATATAAAGCCTGTAAGAAAGAAAAAGTAATGCCCCCCCACCGTGCTTCACAGAAACCATTCGAATGTTCTACACTCTTCATATTTAGTAACAAGAAGCCCTTAAAGCTCAAACAGCAAAAAACAGGGAGGAACATGGGACATCAATATATTTGTAAAACAGACAAAACTCCAAATACATTTTGAGATTCCATCCTCTCCACAGATGAGAAAGTGCCGGAAGGGCTCTTGAGCATTTCTTAAGAAACACCCTCGTCCCCCAGTTAGAAAAGAGTTGCAGGATGACAGTCCTCCTTAAACAGTGCAGGTTCTATCTGGAAAGTCTGGCAGAAAACTCCTCCACCAATGGTGTATCCCAGAAAATTAAACTGCCTCATGCAAGAGAGACAATTTTCAGAGCAAATAACATTATGAAAGACTGACAAAACAAAGAATATTTTTACACAAAGAATATCCTACATACTCAGAAATTTCAGAATAGCTATACATCAAGTACTTCGTGCGGGTAATGTTTTTATCAGCTAAAAGTCATTATGAATTACATGTTCTTTTAACCGAATTTTATGTTATACAAAACTTAAGAAGTGTGGCACATTTCTACTGTTAACCATTACATTGTTTTTTGTTATTTTAAAAAAGCATATGTTAATCAAAATTGATACATTACCCAGACCTTTTGATTTAAAATATAATTAAAGGAAAACATTACAAGCTCTGAAGAAACAGGCATTCTTCTACACAAACATATGAATTAAATATAGTTTTTAAAAAAAGCAATTTTAATGCATTTAAGCCACCTCTGATTAATACATACATTTTCATGCATGTGGAAAAATAAGTTTACATTCACTTTAAGAATAAGTTCCATAGCAAACAAATTACAGCATTTATTCAATAAGAAATATTAAAATAACTCCAGTTAGTAAAAAATAAAATAACTTCAACCATATATATTATAATTTATCATATACATACTCCAAAGTCTCCAGAATTTAATTAGGAAATTTATAGAACATCTTTTTAAATTATGTCTTAGGAAAACCAACCAAAATAATTGGTACCTTAACTAAAGGGAATGTGCATACACATAATCATTTGACCTATATGCAAAAACTGAAATCCAGAGGAAATTAGGGTCACTGCTTTCAATAATTTCTGGGATAAAATATTAGTACTTAAGTCAAAACACTTACCTGCAAAATAAAAACAGCTTGAGGTATTTCCAATGCTGAAGTAATTTTCTGAATGTTAAATACCACAAGAATGAAAACCGTCTCCTTTGAACATTTACATCTGTAAATGCAGAAGGTGAAGCAGTTTGCCCATCTCACCTGTATTCTTTCCTCCCTTATAAAGTGTAAACTTCATGGGAAATGATCACATGTAAAAAAAGTTCCAAGTGAGTCAGGAATGCTGACTGCAGCATTCAACCAAATGGAAAGAGGAATTTTAAAATCTCCTGCCTGGGACCTTTTACAGACATGAACACTAAATCCCTATGACAGACAAGGTAAGTGTGTCCTTTGAAATCAAAGATAAGCTTGACAAAGAACTATACTAGACAAAGTAAATACATGAACCAAATCAACAAAGATGGTACTTTAAGCCTTTACACACAACATGTGAAAACAATGATGTGTTTTATTTAGATTTGGTCTTCTTCATCTTTCCGTGGCTCTGAATCTTGGTAAGTTAGCGAGTCATTATACTCATACATCTTGCAATCCCTTTCTTCACACAATAGGCACACATATGTAGTATCACAGGTCAATATTCGCATCAACAGCACGGTATAAACATTTAAGCATGTCACGTGAAAGAGGGTCTATGCATCAGGTGGCCTGTCCCACTAATAAGCACACATAAGAATGCCATTTCAGCAGTTACAGTGTTGATATTAATCCATACAGCTAATTTTTTGATACCCGTCATATATTTTCATAAGTCCCCCATAGGGAAGAAGCAAAGGACAAAGGCTGTTTTAAAAAAAAAAAGTTATGTGCCAACTCCAAAATGACATACTAACCAGATATCGGCATTTGAAAGCTAGGTTGACTAGGACTGGCCTTGATGCACATGCAGTAGATCTGTTTCCAGAATATAAAATTAAATGGTAATGTCAGCAGTATTACTACTGTTTCTATATTTATGATTAATGACTAGCAGTACAACTCCCAGAAGGAAAGAGATGGATCCAATAGCGATGTAAGCAATTCCCAAAAATGGATTTTTTCCTCCCATCCATGAAATCGTGCTCAGGATCATCCGTTTTCGTCCATCAAAAGAATGTACAGGGTAATCTGAAGATCAGGTAAAGGAAGACTTTTCCATCTCTGGTGACTTGATGTTTGAAATACAATTTTTAAAGTTGGCATTTAGTCGCTTGTAATTCATTTGTATAATTGTATGACATACAGCACCTCACTCATACGTTCTGAATCACAAAAAAATACCATTATCTTGAAAGACTGATATAGCAAATTAAATGTTAGTAGTAAAAGCCAAAATGTTTTAGTAAAACCACCAAATTTAAGGGTTAGTTTTTAAGGTGCTTCTGCCCTCATTATACAAAAGGCCCCAAAGGAATGTAATGTGAACACATACTTCAAATGAACAGCAATGAAGCCCACAAAGAAGAGGAGGTTGACAGACCAGGAGGAAATGGAAGCTTCTGTAAGCTCAAAGAGGACTTACAGCAAGGGCATAGTTATAAGACTTTGAGAGGGCTCTGAGCAAAAGGCTAAAAAGATGACACAAAAGTTGCTAATCTGGAGCAAATCTCTTTATGCTATCACACCGAGCTGACAGCCAAAACAGAGAGGAAGCGAAGTGTGGATTGTTAGGGAGATTTCATAAACAGGACACCAATGTATCAGACGAATCATCTATATGGACCGGTTCTAGGATTTTGGCAAAAGGCAGAGTAACAAAGACAATAAAACTAAGTCCCTAGGCAAAAAGTTTGCAACTGTTTCAAAAGCATCTTGTGAATCAAGGGTTAAGCCACATCTGTTTGTCTAGCTTCTGCAGCTCTTCATTCCCACACATGGGGCCTAAGACTCCAAAGACAGGTTCAGTTCTGCTAACTTAAGTCAACCCTACCTGAGGAAGGAATGACTGTGAGCGCTAACTAACTAACTAACTAACTAACTAACTAACTAACTAACTAACTAACTAACCAAACCCACACCCTGGGAGATGCAGCATCAAATCACCCATGCTACTCTCTCTGGGTATCCCAACCCTAAAAAATGGACCTCTGCCTTAATTTGAATATTTTGTTCCCACTTTATACCCAGTTTTCATCTAACCCTTGATGTTCTGCAGGTTCAAACCCCTGTCTTCTCTACCTGTGAGATCTACTGCATCCTTCCTAACAGTTCCCCCAAGTGACAGGCCCTGCCACAGACTTCCTGGCAACAAAGTGTCTGTCAACTGAGTTCCCCCGGCTCTGCAGACTTCCCTCTACTGCGCCCTCGGCCACAGATCAGGATTTGCCCTTACTCTCTACCAGATCTTCTGGACACAAACTGTATCAGAGCTCCCCTCTATTTTGGCTATGCCTCAGGATAATGCCCTTTTTACCAGCACCTGAGCTGGGTCTGTTTGTCCAAAATTGCTCCTGCACGGGCCTAGTTTCAAGAACTGGTCACTTTCAGCCTGCCACTAGCAGTCCACATTCAGTTGTGGATTCAGGTGCAACATCAAAACACTAGGACCCAAAAATACATCATTACTATTATTATTTGAGTGGGTAGGTCTCATTCTGTCACCCAGGCGGGAGTGCAGTAGCACAATCAGGGCTCAATGCAGCCTCAACCTCCTGGGCTCAGGCGATCCTGGGGTAGCTAGGACTATAGGCATGCGCCACCACACTGGCTGATTTTTTCCTGTTTTTTGTAAAGACAAGGTCTCACCATGTTGCTCAGGTGGGTGTCAAACTCATGGGCTCCCGCAATCCTCCCACCTCAGTCTCTCAAAGTGTTGGGATTACAGGCATAAACTACCACGCACAGCCCCAAAACACCTTATTCTGAAGTTAGGTCTATTAATTTAACCATTTACTAATCCATTAGAAAATAAAAACTATATTCTGATTCATTCAGATTAGGAAAATTGAAAAGTGCAAAGATCAGCAAACATTTAAAATTCTAATTTTGCTTGGGCCCTGGAATTCGAGACCAGCCTGGGCAACATAATGAGACATCATCTCTAAAAAAAATAAAAATATTAGCCAGGCATGGTGGCACACATTTATAGTCCCAGCTACTTGGGAGGCTGAGGCAGAAGACTGCCCGAGCCCAGGAGGCTGAGGCTATGATGAGTTGTGATTGTACCACTGCACTCCAACCTGGGCAACAGAATGAGACTTCCACGACAAAGGAGGGAGGGGGGAGACAGGGAGACAGGGAGAAGGAGAAGGAAGCAGGGAGGGAGGGAAGGAGGGAGGGAGGGAAGAAATACATTGCTAAACATTTCCCGCCTAAAAAAGACTTTGCATGTATGCAGACAGACTGGTCTGACTACCTGAATGAACTAGCTGGAGATGCAGCCTCTGTTGGGAGCTGATAGGAGTCATGGCCTTTGGAGTCGACAGCCGGGCTAAGAACGCTGACACTTGGCATTATGACCTATGTAACCCTGGGTAAATGCTTATATTCCTGCATTTCTATATTCTTGTCTAGAACATGGAGACACCGTACTGCTTGACATAAGTAATGAGTGAAAAGCACTCAGCACAGTGTTGACATACAGATAGAGTGAAATAAATGATATTTATCAGCACTGAATGTGAGCCTAAGCTATTAATGTAGAACAATATAGCTAATGATATAAAATGTTTAGATACTATGAACAGATCAATAATTAGGAACACTTATAGTGATGTGAATTAACACATCCACTGATTTTTAATAACTAAAATACATATGAAAACAGCCCAGTACCACCAAAATTTACTTAGTATTAGTTACATTCGCTGGCCTTTGCATTAAGCTCAATTACAATCTCCTTTGTAAAAAATATCTAGCTTATTAATAAATCAAGCATCTACATTTTAAGTAACTTTGCCAAATGATATGCTTAGAACTCCAATACAAAGTATATACAAATTTAAAACATTTCTAAAGGATATAAATTAAAAGATACATTCGCAGACATACTCTTGTAAAAATGCAGGGATCAAAACTAAAGCATAAAAACAAGCCACATAACAGAAATAAAGCTAGCCCATACTCCTTTTAAGCGCTATGAATCTGTAAACATGACCAAAAAAGGATACTGTATGTGATATTCAAATAGTATCGTCCAGCTGGTAATGTTGGATGTAAATCACTCTTCCGCTCTATAAGACGATATAACTTACGAAAAGTAGGTAATGCTGCAGTTCGCATCCAAACAATAAAATCCTCATTTATGAATCCATTATTATCTGGGTCAGAATCCAGCATGTAAACTGGTTTAAGCCAGTTCACTGGCTTTGTAGTACCTTAAAAGGAGAGGAGAAGGAATAAGGAGACAAAATATCCAATTCTACCACAAGTTTTACTGAAAATACACACTCTACTAAAACAAAGATGTACAAAACACATTCTGAGTATTTTTCTTATTTATTTATTTTCTGAGTTGGAGTCTCACTCTGTCGTCCAGACTGGAGTGCAGTGGCTGCTCCCAGCCACCGCAGCCTCAACCTGCTGGGCTCCAGCAATCCTTCTACCTCAGCCTTCCAAGTAGCTGGAACTACAGGCACACGCTACCACGCCCGGCTAATTTTTTGACTTATTGTAGAGATGAGGTCTCACCAAGTTGCCCAGTCGGGTCTTGAACCCGCGGGCTCAGGCAATCCACTCATCTCAGCCTCCCAAGGCACGGGATTACAGGCTGAGCCACCGAGCCTGGCTAATTTTTCTTATTTTTAAAGGCACAAACATATTTATATTTAAGAGGTCTTAAAATCTAGATTAAGCCATTTCCTTATAAAACAACTTATCAAAACATTAAAAGGGTTGATACCTCAGTTAAGAGAATATTAAAAGTAGGACACTGAGGATATATCAAAAGGCAGATTACTTAATACAAAGATACAATGTCAAGATATATTATATTGTAAAATTACAGAAAAAATGTGGATAATAAATAATAGAGCCTTGTTTAAAAGAAACTTTGCCACAGTTTTAAAAGAATATAGCTGAAATGCTTATAAGAAAACATCAAAGAACCTGCATTCATAATTAAAAGTATACGCTTCCTTTAGAATTTTAAGTACATTAGAACATTCACCTAACTTGGTAGAAAGCAGAAGGAAACATTTTTTTTTTAAAGCATAAACTTTTTTAGGATTCTTAAGACAGAAAATTTAAGATACTCCATTAAGACTCCTAGTTTATTTTCTAAAGTGTTATTAGTAATGTTTTACCTTTAAATCGTTCTTGCAGGTTTTCTCCTCCAGGGGGATTTCTGAACTTCACATTTTTATCTGTCCACCAAGCAATACCTTTCTTTTTCAAGGTAATAGGAGTAGGATAAGAACCATTGCCAATGAGAAACAATTCTAATGTATCTAAACATGAGAAAAGGAGGATATTATTGAATATCTATTGAAAACTCATAGCACTTGCTTAACTCTGTGGGAAACACGGATCAGGTATTTGCTCCCCAAAGTGGTTGTAACAGAGCAGGTATGTGATAGCCATTTGTTTTTCATATGTAGATTAACCAGCAATGCTTTTTAAAAATATTTTTAATTTTTTATGCTTATCTTTTCTTCATTTCAATAGCTTTAGGGGCTAACTATGGCAACTTTTTAATTCTTCATGGAATACTCTTCCCTCAACGGAGTTCTAATTTACTTTCCTATAGGGTCAGCTGGTATGTGATAAAATCAAATGTTTTAATATTAACCTAAATATACTTGCAAGGTAAATCTGCCTTTCCTCCCTTTCTTCCAGTAATGCAGCCCTGTAGCTTCTGGCTTACCCATTTCTCTATTCGCACCATCTAAACACAGCAGCCACTAGGCACACATGGCTACAGAGTCCTTGAAATATGGCTGGCCCAAATGAATATATTCTCTAAGAGTATAATACACATCAGATACCAAAGACTTAGCATTTATGGATCACATTATTTTTCTATCTGATAACGCTGTTCTAAATGGACAACTACAGCTCTTTTTCAATGGTATAAGGTCAGCCTTGCTTTTATTTTATCTTACATGAAATACAAAGGTTGGCAGAATGTCTCTGCTTTTTTCTCAGACACAGAAATTCATTCTTAAATATAAGTATGCTCAAAAGAAAACTACAAAGCTTCATAATACCCTATTCAATAGCTAACTGATATATTTATCTTAAAGTTGTTGAACTTCTCAATTTCATTCATGCTTACTAAACCATCAAGTCTATAATAAGATTATACAAATTGTCCTATCATGTATGTCTACATCTATGCCTATGTTTGTATTTGTAGCATACCATTAAACATGCTGTTGGCAATAGCACCACAAGGAGCAATCGGTTTGTCTTCATTTCTTCTATAAGGCTCACATTCCTTACTGGGATTCTGGTTTTTAGAAGGAAAAAGACAGAGAAGTTACTATCCAGACTTCTGGGAGAACTATGAGCTATCCCTAAATTACTGATTAAGAATTCAAACACAAATGACTGACAGTAGTGAGAAACTATGGGGGGGGATGGGATTAATGGTAGCAAATATCTGTCTGGAGATGGGGAAACACCTCTTATCAACAGGATGCCTGAATGAAACGTATTTGTACCACAACATAATAAAAAATATTGATTAAATAAAAATTTTTAAAAAAAAAGCATTCAACCACCCCAATTTTTCTCACTTGTAGTACACAAATCTGTAGTGTAAACAGGCTATAAATAATGCCACATTTAAATATTCAAAATGTATTCTTTAACATTATGGTATTAATGTAACCTTGACTTGCATATGTCTTGTCATATATGTATGGATCAAATTATCGTCATTTTGATTTTCATATCACAGAATCATAACCACAAAGAGTTTTCTGCCCAAGAAAAATTAAGAAATGGTCTTAACCTGGAAAAAAAATCTTAAACTGGAAGTAAAGAGAATAGAGGTTCTAATTCCTTGGGGCAAGACCTTTAACTTAACTGGATCTTAACTTATGAAATGGACATGTCTAACTATATACTCTCAATTTTTATAATTTTGTATTAAATCCCATGTCTAAGGAAGGAAGGAAAAAATCGAGTGCAGATGCTAGAATATACCAATCTTTAAATTATACATCCAGGTACAAAGGAGGCAAAAATGCTGGCAAGGCAGAACATGTACCTGTCCTCCAGACTTGGCTTTGACTTAATCCTTACTGGAGATCTCAAGGAGATGTGACCATCCCAGAATCAAACAAGAGACCGTAGCAAGTCTGAGGTCATGTGCATATCTGAGATGCTCTGGAACTCACAGGTTACATGAAGCCATGTCCCAAAACACATAAGCAGACCAAGATAATCTCATTTGAAATTAACCAGATCCTGCTTAGACCTCTTAGGACTATTTTATTACCAGCAACCTTGAATTGTATCTACATTGTCTATGACTAGATTTGAAAAAGCAATTGTGAAAATGGAAAAGACAAGAGAAGCTAAATAAACACATGGCAGGGATCTCATAACGTCTCTCAATATTTGACTTCTCAGCTTTTTGATCCCTACGCCATCTATATTGATAAAGCTAGCAACTGAAGGGCAAATATATTTTCTGAACATTAAGTTCTTAAGAGAGTTTTAAAAGAAAAGAGAATGTTATTTACTGTCTATGTGTTGAGTACTCAACTAAGCAATGTTAGGTACTTTTGCATTAAGTGGCTTAGGAAAGCTATTTAATGAGTACCTAATATGTACTGTATACCATGCTAGGTGCCAGAAACAGAAAAATGATAACAACACAATCCCTTCCTTTAAGCAACTCACAGTGTAACAGAGGAAACAGACTCATACATAACCAACTATAATATAAAATATGAGCCATGATAAAGATATCTAAAGATAAAGATTCAACAAACCTTTATTAAATGCCTTCCACATACTAAGCATTAGCCACACACTTGGTAAACAGTAATTAAAGAAAGTCATGCTCCCTGCTCTCCTAAGCTTACAGTGTAGTTGGAAAGAGATAAATAAGCAAGCAAATATATAATTACAATTAAGTGTTATGAAGATATGTGAGAGTGATTATTGGAGAGAGGGTCAGAGGAACTACTTTAGAACCTATGGCAAGAAAAAGCTTGGTTCTAGTAGAAAGTATCATGTAAATTAAAACCTAAAAAAAAAGCGTAGGAGCCAGTCACGTGAAGAGCAGACAAAAGAGAGTTTTACGCAAAGAGAACAGAACATGCCACTAAGAAAGAATTTGTTATTTCTGAGAGGGCAAAGATGAATAAAGCTGGAGCATGCCAAGAGAAAGAATGATATGTGATGAGATTGGAGGATTATGCTTGGCTCAGATCATCCTGAGACTTTACTCACAGTAATAATAACCTATTGAAAGATTTTGAGTAGGAAAACGGTATTTGTCTACGTTTAAAGAGTACTACGGCTGCTGTGTGGAGAATGGCCTGGAAAGGAGGGGCAAGACTGGATGACACGAAAGCCAGTTTGTTCATCAAAGCAAAAACGGGAGTGACTTGGAACAGGAAATAAAGTTGTAAATAAGTATATTTTTTATATCAAAGCACACCTAGGTTAAAAAAGCAGGGCTTGAGATAAGACCTCCAGGGAAAGAGTAAAAATTGCATTCTAGGCAAACGAAACCATAAACGGCGAGATGGGCAGACTGCTTGTGTCCCGATGCATGAGGAGAGAGCAGCAAACGTGGCCCAGGGCAGCCGGCCTTGTTCAATACGGTGACAGCTTATACCACAATGGGGCCGGAATAGCAGTCTGACACCAGACTGGGAAGGGCCTCGCACACAATGTTAAGCAACTTGGACTTCGATCTGTCTATAGCTGAAATCTTTAAGATTTTTGAAACCCACCTGGTCTTAAAAGTCATACTTCTTTTTTTTAGTCCAGGGATCAAGAAACAGCCTGCAGGCCAAATCCTGCCCACCACCTGTTTTTGTAAATCCAGGCTGAAGGAGCACAGCTCCGCCCATTCATTTAGGTTTTATGTATGACTGCTTTCATTGTATAACAGTAGAGCTGAGGAGCTGTGACAGAGACCTTCTGAACTACAAAGTTAAAAACAGTTACTGTCTAGCCCTTTACAGAAAAAGTTTGTCAATCTGGCCTAAAATTTTTGCTTGCAGTGTGTAAGAAAAGAATCTGTTTCAGCTTCCTTTGCCCTCAGTGATGAGCATTCATGTGAATAAAAGAATTGTACATCAACCACCATTTCTGGGTCACTGAATACACCCAATCTACAGTCCCAGATTAACACTTTCAGAAAGCTCTAGAAACTTGGTGGCTCCTACAGATTAGAGCCCACATGAATTCTGAATATTACAGATCTAACCAGAACCCTGTGAACACTGTCGAATTTTTAAATGACTTGTATTTCTTAAAATCCCACACATCAGAAAATAGCAATAAAATTAGCTAGGATAACCTAGGACAGTTATATTACATGATTTCTGGGCCCATTCTGGTCACAACATAGTACTAATTTGCACTCTAAGAGATTCACCAATTCTAAGAGATCCTAAATTGCTCTGGGCCTCTGAATGTCTGCTGCATTGGCAATAATAATATAAAAACTTAGGTACTATAGAAAGATGAACAATAGACAAGAAACTAAGATACCCTGGTCCACAGAGTCCCAAACCAGCTGGTTAAAATACGTGGAGCTTATTAAAAATAGATAGTCTAGAGTTCCACTCCTGCATACACTGACACATTAGACTTAGGAGAATTCATGCGTCTATACTTTCTAAATGCTCCTCAAATAGCTTTTCAGTAGCCAACTTTTTAGACTTTACAGCTTAGTCTTCCCACAAGTTAAAAATTGAAGAGTGTAGGTTGTTCAGTTTTGAAACACAACTCCAGAAATTAAAGCAGCTTACTTACACACTGCTACCTAGTGTAGTAATAATGAACTAACCCAAACAGAACACATTTATATTACACAGAATGCTAGACTCACCAAAATTCCATTACAAACATATTAATGAAGCAAAAATCCCAATGACCACTATTAGAAGCAAGCAGGTAGTAATATGTCCTCTGGCTATAAAAAGTTATTAATCTGTGCAAATTATAGGGGAAAAGCATTTTAACTATAAACATTCACTGTATATACTATAAAAACACTTTAACTTCATCCTAAAATTATTAAATGCTTTAATGATTATAACTGAATAGTTACCACATATTCTTATTTCAGATGCCACACTTTCAAATTTATCATTTTACTTACAAGCAAAGCACTAGAATCTCCATTTAGTTGACTATCATCCCGAGATTTCACATAACGACGATGGTTTTGATAGAAATTAGACAGTCCATAATACATAAACACATTACCCTAGAGAAACAGAGATAGAAAAAAATTTTCATGTAGAAGCTATTACATACAAATTTGTTTCAGGAGCACATAAAAACTATGTAATTTGGACTTCATTAGTCTACACTTTGTGATAAAAGGGTGAATTCTACCAGTATTAGCAATCTAAAATGGTACAACTGTAAATAATGTTAAAAAATCCAAGAGTAAACTTTAAAACTATCCTTAAAGACTTCAGAGAAGTGCATTTACACTAAAAAATAATCCTTAAGGATCTATTAGCCTACTCTAAGTTACTTTCAATTTAAAAGTTTCTCTCACAAGTCTGTATGGGGTGAGTTAAAAAAAGAAAAAAAATGCCAGGCAGAGTGGCCCACACATGTAATCCCAGCACTTTGGAAGGCGGAGGCAAGAGGATTGCCTGAGCTCAGGAGTTCAAGACCAGTCTGACAATTTGGCGAGACCTCGTCTCTACAATGTAAATTTAAAAATTAGCTAGCTGTGGTGGTATGCGCCTATAGTTCCAGCTACTCAGAAGGCTGAAGCGGAAGGATCACCTGAGTCCAGCAGGTTGAGGCTGCTAACCATGATACTGCACTCCAGCCTGGGTGACAGAGTAACATGCCAACTCAAAAAAAAAGAAAAAAGAGGAAAAAAATGTTTTCTGTAGTTCAGAATTCTGTAATCCCAGCACTTTGGGAGGCATAGGCAAGAGGATTGCCTGAGTCAAGGGTTTCGAGACCAGCCTGGGCAACCTAGCAAGATCTTGTCCCTAAAGTAAACTGAAAAATTAGCTAGGCGTGGTAGCGTATGCCTGTAGTTTCAGCTACTTGGAAGGCTGAGGTGAAATGATCGCCTGAGCCCAGCAGGTCAAGGCTGCGGTAGCCGTGAGTGTGCCACTGCACTCCAGCCTGGGTTAAAGTAGGACTACGACTCAAAAATAAAATAAAAAAATAAAATAAAAGAGACAGGGTCTCACTACATTGTCCAGGCTGGTCTTGAATTCCTGGGTTCAAGCAATCCTCCCACTTCAGCCTTCTGAGAAGTTAGGACTACAGGCATGCACCATCGTGTCCAGCTGAAATGATCATTTTTTTCTTGATAAATTCTGAACTTGAATTGAGATATAAATTTTTCAATAAGATACTATATAATATTACCAATTAATAAGCTAGCAATTAGTAAAGTATATAAGATAATGAATCACATTAATAATAACCAAGAAAAGTATTCTATTTGCTAGAGCCAATTTCAAAATAACTTGGGAAAAAAGAGTAATCTATAGACACTACAATTATTTAGAAAATGCTAAGAAGCAATTTTGAATGACTAAAATGTTTAGAAGCAGCAAAACATTAAGCTATTTCCTCCTTTTTGTTTGCTATCTCTATTTTCTATACTATCATCCTCATTTAAAATAAATGTAGTAACATGATAAGTATGCTTTGTTTGATTTGCTACTTTCATATACATCGCCATATATTTAAAGCTTGATTTTCACATGTCAAACCAAGCAAATTCTCCCATTCTATATAAAAAAATGTACATGAAAACCTTTTTGGGAAAGAGGGCAATACCGAATTGACACCATAGAAAACACTGAATAGGCTTTATTTTAAAAAGTTTTATCTCAGTGAAGAATCGGTGCAGTAAATTCAATTTGTAAACTAAAAGAGAGATCCTTTTCGATGAATATTGAGACAAAATAACCTACTGAAGTTCCTGAAAAGGCTTTATTCCAATTTAAACTTAGGGTTTGTGAAAAAACAGAACTCACAAGCAAATGAATCTGAAGTTGAGCACCTTGAAAGAAAAGCAGCTCTGAAATGTTTTCTGAATGGAGGAGACCCGTGGAGCTTCTAAGTCATTACAAGTCTCACCTCCTCAAGTCTACCTGTTCTGACAAACGTCAAACTTACTGCATTTTTATAGTTTTCCCATCACACTGAACAACGGTGAACTTTTAAAGATGCTTTAAGCTTATATTTCATTTCTGCTGAAACAAAGTCAAATCATTAAATTTCGGTCTTCTGCCAAATTTGTTGTCTTGTTTTTTCCCCAAAGGCAGCACTATCCTGTTCATCTCAGTGCAAGAACATCTATAACCACTAGATGGCAACCAACCACCGTGGACTAGCAAAGCCATCGGTCCTTTACAAAATCAGTGCAGAAAATCTGAAAAGTTGGCAGATGAGAAAGCTTTTGCTCCCTGAAGAAGATTTTTAAGCTCAATTTCAGGCAGAGGAGAGTACAAACCAGTCTTAGCCTATTCTGAATCATTATGTCCTTTATCATGTGCTCAGTTACCAAGAAGAGTGGCAGGTTAATGTGAATGCAAAAGACACTCACAGATGATTTCTAACTTATCAAAATACAAACGACCAGTAAGGTTTTAATGTGTGTTTGAATTTTTTGTAATGCTTTATATATCATAAGAAACAATTCAATTAAATGACGGAGAGAAGTAATATGTTCTAAAGTAAAATTTGTTTTAGTATTAAAAGTATACAATTTGAGCAATAATTTTAAAAAAATGAAGATATAAACTTAATACAAAATTGATTTGCATAGTTACAAAATTTTCCAGTGAAAGGATAAAATATAATGCTTCAAATTTTAGTCTACAAAATACTGACAAAACCATTCAAATAAGTGTATTTATTAACCAGACAGTATAAAATGCAACAGCCAGACATATAAAGTAATCTTCCTCAAAAGCGTATGGACTCCAACAAATTAACTTCTCTATAAAAAGAAAATGCCTAGTAAAAAACATTTACTACCATACCAATATTTTTAAAAGCATGGCTTTTCTAGCAAATTACTTGAAAACACAGACCTCAAATGATTTTTCCAGTGTGAAGTTAATGGTACAAATGCAAGGTGTCACATTCGGAGACAAACATTTATTGCAGGGACTGGAAGGCTCTGTTCCGGTATAATCAATCTGCAAGAGAAAAATACAGCTAAGCATTTCTTTGGAGAAAGTAAATACCTAAACATTCTGAAATAACTTGCTATTAAAAGCAAAAATAAATCCTATGAAGCAACCTGGAGGGCCAAACAAAACCTGCTTTTTAGGTCTTCTGTTTGTTTTGACAATGTGAGGTGGTAAAAAACCCAGAAACAGCCTCTGCTGTTCTACTTGCTGACCTTCCAAGTAAAGTCCTCTCTCCTTTTTACCAAAAGAAATACATTTATACATAAAATCATAAATATAAAATTCAAAACTGCAAGATGTATAAAGATTTAAATAGCTAAAGCATCCGAACTACTAAAATACAAGATTAATAAGGATCAATCAATCAGCTTTTCCTCTGAAATCTTTCAATTTCAAATACTTTTCGGTCACCTCCGCTTTCAATGATACACTTTCAAATCTACATAATATATGGTTTTCAAGGGCTTTTTTTTTTTTAATCTGGTATTGAATTTGTCTGTCTTTGTCTTGGGTTCCTGGCAGGGAGCTTCACCTTTGGAGCTTTGCAGGTGACAGGATTATATCGCTGTCACTCGCAAGCCTCTTACACCAGAGCTTATGTTAACAAGATGGCTCAGGATGGCTGTGGTCACAGAAAGACCAATCCTGTGATTAGGAGCTTTGGTCCAGCCCAACCTCTGGGAAGAAGGGGCTAAAAATGTAGTTCAACCAGTTGGTCAGTGTTCAATCAATCAAGCCTACATCATGAAGTCCCAAGTACAACTGTGGACACTGTGGTGGAGGATGGAGGACAGCTTTCTGGCTGGTGAGCCCAGTTGTGGCAGGCAGGGGCCGTGCTCTGAGTGTTCAGCTCTGCATCCAGGACTCTCCTAGGTATTGCCATGCGTGTCTACCAGGAACCCCTCTGCATACATAACCTGCTGGTCAGGATTGTCAGAAGTGTGGGTCATCTTGGAGATCCCCAGACTTGCAACTGGCAACTGAAGTGAGGGAAGTCTTACAGAAGGTAATCAGAAGAGTCTGGGAACCCCCTGGGTAGTGCCAGTTGTTAATACGTGTGGATACCTTGGGGGCTTGACTTGCAGCTGGTGTCTGACATGGGGACAGTCTTGTTGGGGACCATGCCCTTCAACCTGTGGAGTCCGACACTAACGATAGCTGGTGTCAGAACTGAATTACAGCATACTGGTTGATTTTTAAAGACCTAGCCTTATAGCTAAACTTTTAAAATATACTTTATTTTTGATAGTTTTAGGTTCTGAAGTGGTACAAGGAGATTCACCCCCAAATATGGCATTTTGCCTCAAGGTCTCTCCCTTTTTTAACTGCTTTTTCTCCAGGTTAAAATTATCCATTGCAGGAAAGTAGAGGAAGAATGTAATCAGACCTGGCCCAGTCATTTGACAAGATAATGCCTATCTTACCAGTTCATTCAGCTTCCAGAGAACTATTTGCAAGTCATTCTGCTTCCCCAGGCATTCATTCTCCCAGTCACTTCTTGCCCCACGACAGAATTCCTCTTCTACAGGTCCCCTCCCACTGTGGGAGCTTTTCTATCCTCTTAAATTAACCCTGATTTCACACTAAAAAAAAAATTCCTCTTCTTCTCCTGCCCATAAGCTGTTTTACTGGAATGCAAGCCCCCATTCTCTCTGTGACCTAGAAGGTGTTTAAGTTTCTGTAACTCATTCTGAAGGCTCCAGTGTACACGAGGGGAAACCCAAAAAAACTGCAATTTTGTATTTATTCTTGCATTTATTCAGCCACCTTCAAAGTCCTCTCCATCTGATGCAATACACCTATCGAAATGCTTTTTCCACTGCTCAAAGCAGATTCTGAACTTGTCAATTTCGATGCCTTCTAGTGCTTCTGCCATTTTTTGTTTCACCTCTTTCACACCGGCAAAACATTTCCCTTTGAGGATATTTCTCATCCAGGGAAACAAAAAAAAAAAAGTCACAAATACGCTGATTCTCCAAAAAAAAAAAAAAAATTCACTGGTGCTGAATGCAGCCTCTCACAATGCTAGCTGGCACTGATGACGATGGGTTCCCAGAATACTTACCTGGCAGGGGAAACCTGTACTACAAGGGGTCCACCCTCTAAAAAATTCCGGGTTTTGGGGGTTTCCTCTTGTACACATCAAATAAAATGTGTATGTCTTTTACTCTATTAATCGATCTGCCTCATGCCAGGAAATTTTCAGCAAACTTTTAGGAGGCCAACAGCTATCGTCCTCACAGTCTACAGCAAAATTAAAGAGAAAGTAGAGAGTTCCCATATACCCTCTGCCCTCCCAAACCAACTTCCTCTACTATCAACATCTAGCACCACAGTGGTACATTAGTTACATAGATGAATCTACAGGCACATCATTACCACCCAGAGTCCACAGTTTACATTAGGGCCACTCTTGGTGTTGTATAGTCTATGGGTTTTGACAAACGTATTGACATGTATCCACCATTATAGTATCACACAGAATAGTCTCATTGCTCTAAAAATCTGTCTATTCATTCCTCTCTTCCTGCTAACTTTTGGCAAGGACTATCTTTGCATTGTCTCCATAGTTATGCCTTTTCCAGAATGTCATATTGTTGAAATCATACAGAATAGTCTTTTCAGATTGACTTCTTTCACTTAATAATATGCATTTAAGATTTTATATGTATTTTCAGGGATGCATAGCTCCTTTATTTTTAGCACTGAATAATAATCCTACTGTCTGGTTGTACCACTGTTTATTTACCCACTTATCTACCCAAAAACATGTTGGTTGCTTCCAAATTATCACAGTTACCAACAAAGTTGCTGTAACATCCATGAGCAAGTTTCTGCGTGGACATACGTTTTCAACTCACTCAGGTAAACAGGAGTGCAACTGCTGGGTCACAGAGTAAAAGTATGTTTACTTTTCCAAGAAAATGCCAAACTGTCTTCCAAAGGGGTTGAACCATTTTGCATTCTCACTACTGACGCCAGGTGAGATGTGTGGTATGTTGCTCCATGGGTTCTTTGATATCACCACAGAAAAGCATTTCAGATAGAGTCCCAAGTATAGTTTAAGACAGAATTTATTAGAGAGGGAAAGACATGCTCAAGAGGAAGTATAGGACCCTTAAGAGAGTGCACGTGCTTGCCTTTGACAAGAGGCTGCAGGCTGCAGGTATCTGGTCATGAGTTTTGATTACCATCTCTCAACCCTCTAAGGTCACAAGGACCTTTATAAAGTTATTGCCTAACTAGACTTGAGCTTTTCTTAGAACATCCTATCTATGTTTTGGTAATTCCCTGTTGTTTCTGTGATTTCCTGCAGTTCTGGAAAGCCCGGTGGGTCGGGTGAAGGTCGTGTTCCAGTAAGAAAGATGTCTGACCGCTTACCCTATTTTAATTTAAACTACCTCCAAGAAACGTATCTTTGTCTAACCTACACTGAATAGCCTGCCTTACTATCAATGAATGACAGATCCTATTGTTCCACATGCCTCCCAGCATCTGGTATTGTCTGTGTTGTAGGTTTTCACCATTCTACTGGATATGTAGTGGTATCTCACTTATGTTTTAATTTGCAACTCCCTAATGTTACACAATGTTAGCATGTTTTATATGCTTACTTGCCATCTGCACATTATAGACTACATGTCTGTGTTCCCCCCAAATTCATATGTTGAAGCCCAACCCCCAGTGTGATGGTATTTAGAGGTGGGGCCTTAGGGAAGTGATTAGCTTTAGGTGAGGTCATGAAGACAGAAGCCACATGATGAGATTAGAAAGACCACAGTTCTCTCAAACCCTATCATCTGAGGACAAAGCAAGACAGCCATTGACAAAGCCAGTAAGAGGGCTCCCACTAAGAACTGAATCTAGCAGCATCTTCATCTTGGACTTCCCAGACTCTAGAACTATAAGAAATAAGTATCTGTTGTTTAAATCACCCAGGCTATAGTATTTTGTTATAGTAGCTCCAGCTGATGAGGACACTGTATATCCTTTTTGGTAAGGTGTCCATTAAGGTCTTGTGTCCATTTTTTACCAGGTTGTCCACTTTCTGATGGTTGAGTATTAAGAGCTGTGAATTTTGAATAACAGTCCATTATCAGTAAGCTACTTACAAATATTTGCTCCCAGTCTGCAGCTTGTCTTCTCATTCTCTTGGTAAATGAGAATTTTATGTTGAACAGTCCTAATTATCTGTACCTTAATAATATTAAAAAATTAATCATCTAATCTTTATTCCTGAAACTGAACATATAAACCTTATAAACAGATATTCAATTTCTCTCTATAATTGAAAAAAGACAAAAGGTCAAAATCTATATCAAGGAAATAAAGCCAGCATCTAATTACAACATTTAGTTGCTTCTTAAAAACCATTCAGTTTGCTTAATAAAACCTGATTCTATCAAATTCTGATATAATCTCCTACAGAAATGTTTTCCATTAAAGCTTATTTGTTTACTAGTGTAACTTTGTTTAGACCAAATTTTCTTTCACTGCAAATATCTAAGAGAAGCTAGGCACATAACTATAACAAACAGAACTAAAAACACAGGTGTCCTAAATGAAGAGACACAAAGCCTATATAATTTTGGCCTGTATAATTTTTCACCAGATCTGTTGGACTTTTCCCCCAGGGCCTAGTCATGCAAAACATTCCACTTAAACAACAAGTTTTACAATGCTTAAGAGATGAAAGATGCCGGGCTCCGTGGCTCAGCCTGTAATCCCGCGCCTTTGGGAGGCTGAGGTGAGTGGATTGCCTGAGCCCGCGGGTTCGAGATCCGCCTGGGCAGCGAGACCTCATCTCTACAATAAATCAAAAAATCAGCCGGGCGTGGTAGTGCATGCCTGTAATTCCAGCTACTCAGAAGGCTGAGGCGGAAGGATCGCCAGAGCCCAGCAGGTCGAGGCTGCGGTGGCCGGGAGCAGCTACTGCACTCCAGTCTGGGCGACAGAGTGAGACTCCAACTCAAAAAAAAAAAAAGAGATGAAAGATGAGACAATTA